ATAATGAAGTGCATACTCTCCACCTAGCTCATCATCCATACACAAAGCAGCTTATCTGAAATCTTAGGAACACAACCAAACGTGCACTAACAAAACTGCAAACATATGACACAATGTTGTCCAGTCAGTAAGTAAAACTAGGGGAAGTACATAGTCAGTTTCATGCATTAATACCACCATCATTTTGCCTTACACTTTGCTTTGTGTGCATTGTGTGGAATGTATTGCTTTTTAAAAGCATTTTCGTTTATACCATATTCATTATGGCTGATCAGGCAATAAAATTGTTGATTTCTAATTTTTTTGGGTTGTTTGGAAATATAATTATCGGTAATAACATATAAGATAATAACAGTGGAGTAGTATTCTCCAGTCTTGAGTAAACTTGTATTCCAATTGCGTTATTTGTGAGTTTTCATTACCTCATATGTTTTTATGTCTGGTGCATATTGTATAGCAGTATGCAAAATTAACAAAGAATGTGTTTAGAAAATGTGTATGCTTCAGCAGTGTACATTGTTCCACTTGTTTCCTTTAGATTTCATTTCAGTCGTGACTTGGTTAAATTTTATTGTCTCTAATTCATAGTATTAATATTTCAGAGTACAGTGGACTCTTTATATGATGTTTCTCACTTTTAGGTTTTTTTCAACACTTAGCATTCAGTATATGGGCATGTATCCCAAATCTGTTATCTCAACAGCACACTTCTTCCCTTGAAAGTTTTCTTCAGTTTAGTGTTAAAATTCAATAGGTGGTGATGTGTTTAGAGCTATAGGTAATTCATCCATGTAGGCCCATTGTGTAAGGTACAGTGTTAGTTTTTAGTTTGAAATAATTTGTGACATTATAATTTATTGTTCAAAGTTTAGCCAGAAATTGATTTGTTCTGTATTTATAGATTTATTTTACATGCCAAGAAGACTGGGTTTGTGGTAGAGCACGATTTTATCATGGCGACGTATTTGGCTGACAGAGTGATTGTCTTTGAAGGCTCACCCTCTATAGACACAACTGCACATACACCACAGAA